TTATAGTGATCTTTGTTCCTATTGTGACGACATCAAATAGGTCTCGCTAGACACTATTTGACGTTTCTTTTACATAAGTTTCTAGCCAAGCGTGACCTCAACCAAGCCAAGCACAAGTGTTGTAGAAAGGGTTTTGACCTCTTTGTGTGATAAGGCACAACAAATGTCTGATTGGATCTTCTGATCTTCATAAAAATTGTAACATTTGATGTGAGCTTTTCAATGACATTAGGATCACACATAAAGAAGGTCTAAAACTACTAAGATGATTAAATTAATGACCAAGGGTTAAGTTGTTAGATTTAGACTAAAATGTTGAGGCTTTGTAATTTTTAAGCATGGTAGATGGTAAAATAAACTCTTGAGGTCAACATAAAAGTTTTAGATAATTTTATTATTTTTCTAAGAAAATTGAGATCAACTTAATATCATGATTATAACTCCATATATTGTGTTTATACCCCATAATATCATAGACGCTTGAGATAAAGAGAGATAATTTGAGAGTTGTAATGGTGAGTTTTTTTACCCTTTAAGTGCTTAATCTTGGAGATGGTTTGAGAAACTTATATCATGGGTTAAGAAATATAAATAATGAGATGGGATATTTGTGAATGAGTTATGATGAAGATATAAAATTATGTTTGTGATACCTTGTGCTTGAGGCTTGGTGCCTATATGCAATATGAGATTTTTTTTTTGTGTGATATGCAAAATATGAATTGTTGATACGTGGCATGAGAAAATTATATGCAACAGATTATTATACATGATGTGATATGAGATGGTTATGTGTAATATGATGAGATGTTGATGTTTGACTTGAGAAAATTATGTGCAATATTTGAAACATTGGTGAATGATGAGATGTGAGATAATGATGATAATGTGTGATGTGAGAATGAAATGATGATGATGTGTTTGTATGAGATTTACAAGATGATGATGTGTATAAATTAGATTGACATTAGCCTGACGTGTTAAGTGAATGAAATAACTATGAGTTAAATTCATGAAATAAAATGTTGCACAGAGTCTTGTATATGAAGCATGCATCATGAGTACAAACCTTCACCATTGAGCCATGAGTAATTTCCTTTGAGCCATGAGTATTCACCTTCAAGTCATGAGTAATTGCATTTCGGCTATGTGTATTAGCCTTCAGACCACGAGTTATGAGATCCTTGGCCCACATGCATGTAGATCTAGATAAGTCCATGTCCACTATATTAAGTGAATGAGATGTGAATGTGTATGATTTTAATGGTGTGATGTTGTTATTAATTGAAGTTATATTGTTTTACTTATATTTTAATACTCTCATTACATGTACGTACACTAATGTTATAGTTGACATTAGCCTGACGTGTCAAGTGAATGAAATGACTATGAGTTAAATTCATGAAATAAAATGTTGCAGAGAGTCTTGTATATGAAGCATGCATCATGAGTACAAACCTTCACCTTCGAGCCATGAGTAATTTCCTTTGGGCCATGAGTATTCACCTTCAAGTCATGAGTAATTGCCTTCCGGCTATGTGTATTAGCCTTCAGACCATGAGTTATGAGATCCTTGGCCCACATGCATGTAGATCTAGATAAGTCCATGTCCACTATATTAAGTGAATGAGATGTGAATGTGTATGATTTTAATGGTGTGATGTTGCTATTAATTGAAGTTATATTGTTTTACTTATATTTTAATACTCTCATTACATGTACGTACGCTAATGTTATAGTTGATGTTTGTTTTGCTTGATTATATCTCACACAAATAGCAAAGTGAGACATTTCTCACTCCCCTTTGTCGTTGTTGTTGTTGTTGTGTTCCTACATGTGTTTTGCAGATAAGGATCATTATGATGATGATGTTGGTAAAGAAGCATGTGCCTTATGATGTAGTAGTTTCTTGTTAACCATGAAGTTATTTTGTTAAATTTGGTATTTCTTTTGTTTAAGTATATGTTTTCAATTTTGGACAGATGTAACTTCCTCTATCCATGGAGGTGTTTTTGTGAATGGTTTCCTTATATATTAAAGTTTCTTTAGAGCAATTAGAGTATATTATTAATTAATATAAATATTGATGAATAGGGTAGAGGGTGTTACAAGTGTTGACAGTTCATTACCATTACCAGACACTTTATGTCAGAGTTCTCTTGAATAGGACTGAATTTTACTTCTTCTAGCATGATGCTTTCCTTCCCAATATTGAAAGAACTTATGAAATTCTCATAGGAAGAGGGAGAGACATTAGCAGAATCATAGCCACATCTTCGTCTTCCATTTTTTATGTCAATATTATAGTTTCAACAAAATAAAGTTTAATTCATCAACATGATCTTTCAAAGATGTGTCTTCCTTCATACAAAGACCAAAGAGCCTCCTCTTTAGCAAAAACTTATTATATATGCACTTTGTCATGAAAATCTTCTCCAATTTCAACTATAACCTTGAAGTAGTCTATTCTTCCCCGACATCATACAAAACTTTGTCACCCAACGAAAGAAGAATAAACGAGTGTGTTTTATCTTCCTTTTGTTCAAGAACATATTTTTCCAAATGTGATGTCATCTTGGAGAAAGGTGCCCAAATGCCTTATTCCTTCAGCAAAGCTCTCATCTTTATGCACCAGAGGTTGAAATTGTTCTTCATTGTAAACTTCTCAATCTTGATTGTGTTAGCCATCTTCCTGAACGTCTTCTTTAAAGATCCATCACAAACAACAAAAAATAGAATGGTTGATCTAACTTTAAAGATCCACCAACAGATGCAAAACTATGATCTCAACCAAGCTCATAGTACCAGTTTGTTGTGAAACATTGAGTAAAATAAATGACATAAAAACAAGAAAGAACACTCATAAAATGAATGAAGAAGACTAAATGTATTGATTTCATAGTTTGTGAGAATTACAATAAATGATGGCTATATTACCCGTTTAGTCCTACATTATCCCATCTATGTAGGGACCAAGTTGACTAACAAATTAAACAAATAGAAAATTTACTTTAATAAGTAAGGATTATGTGTCATAATCAACACTAATTTTCACTGTCATACTTGGTGAGGCATTTTTTGCACCTAGTGTAGAGAGGTCAAAAACCTCTCTATAACTCTTGTGCTTGACATGACTGAGTTCACGCTCGACAAGAAACTTATGTAGAAACAATATCAAATGATGTCCAATGGAGCCTATTTGGTGGTCGACACTAAGGAAATAAAGAATACTATGAGTCATCATTGTCCAGTATCATAAATTTGTGTCTAACGTGACATTAGTTTTATTTACCTGTAGAAAGGTACAAAAATCACATAAAACCCTCAACCTCAAATTTCTTCCCAATATCATCAGTAGATAAAATCATCAATCAAAATTTAATACTACTCTATTAAACTGTCAATTAACCTAAACATACAACAATTATACAAAATATCACTATTTTTTTATATTAATTTTCACCTTACTCTATATCAAGGATTTCCTATAAAAATCTAAGAGTTCTCATAAATTAACAATTTATACCAATTAATTCACAATTCACAACCAACATAACATAATAATCTGTATAACATACAAATCATATAACACAATTATTCACGTATATATAATCAAGGTTTAGAATTTCCAGCACAGAACACCAAAGACAAACATCAGATTGAATACTAAAATTTCATAATAGTACCAAACAAAATCCCATTACTGATGAATGGCGTCATTAGTAAAAAAGTTCTATTTAAATTTTTTTTTGAGGTTTACAAAGAGGAAAATGTTGTGTTGATTGAGTTATTCTCTTTTGTCAGGTAAAATGTAATTAAGCAAAACAAAATGTGAATTA